TTTGATTGAAATCATATTTTTAAACGTGAAAACGTTTTTATTCAACGTTTTTACATTTTTGTTACATCGTCTTTTTTTCATACATACTAAAAACTAAAGCTAACAATTCGCAATCGACGAGTTGATGCCTATCGAAGATATCGCTATCGCGTATCACGTATAGTACCTCCTCGGGATTTATTATAATAGACGCAATGTTGGAGAATCGCGTATACTTTTCATCGATCGTTTCAACGAGTCTGTCTAGTTGATTGAACGTCATATCAATACATTCGGCGAGATTAAACATACGGCGTAGCGTATGTCGATTCGATCATCATAATGCGTACGTTTGAAGATTCAAGACGTACGAGTGTAACGTTGTTCATCATACAAACTCGGACTGTTAACGGTCCGACGTTTATAAAATTGTCTTTGTAATTATTTCGTAGCAATTTGTAGATATTCCGTTGCTGCTCATGGAGTCCTTTCCATGTTTCGAGAGACAATATCAGCTCTTGTCCTCGATGATCTCCTAGGGCGATCTTTACGTAGCTCGGTGGACCAACATTGATTCCAATTTCCAGAAACTTGAAGCCCGTAGCCGTCAGGTTGTAACGTCTGCTCATCAAGCGCACCGCGCGAGGCTCCATCGAAATGCTGTGTAACAGCAATTAAGTACATAATATTGCGTAAGTACATAATGTTGCAAAAAGAAAAAAAGAAAATGTCGAACTTACGCGTTACGTTCCTTCTTCGTTTCACCATCGTATAGTGCACTGCTTCCTTTGGCGGAGTACATTGCGTGTGGATCGTTCGTACAAACGAATGATGGAGAAGCAGAGTACGTTGCGTATGGTTCGTTTGTACAAACGAATGACGGAGGACTGATCGCACCCGCGGAAATTTTGACACGGCAGAGCGTTAATCCCCCCTTCCTCTCATTTGAAAGATGGAGTGGACAAAAACTTCAATGACCTCGCTGAACGACAATACTCTATTATGAGTATTTACGTGAATAGGCATGTTATAGTGGACCAAGAAAAAGACAAAGAATCGTACAATTACAGATAGCACATCGAGAACGAGTTTACTGTTATAGTGATTATAAACTGAAAGAAAAAAAAGATTGCGTCATTATCAATTAATTATAAAATTTTTATTTCAAGAAAAAAAACCTAGTCAGCTATAAAAAATATGTAAAGAGAAAAAAAGAAAATGTGAATAAAAAGTTTCACGCTTCAATCATAACGCAATTTCTTTGTCATCGATGAATCGATCGAACGTTACATTGAAAAAAATGTATAGGATCGTTGGAATATTAAGTAATCATCAATGTAATAGCGGGGAAAAGAAATAAA